CAAATCAATCAATGTGATACAATACATTAATAAAAGAAAGAACAAGAACTGTATGATCCTCTCAATAGATGCAGAAAAAGCATTTGACAAAGTACAGCATCCTTTCTTGATTAAAACTCTTCACAGTGTATGGATAGAGGGTACGTACCTCAACATCATAAAAGCCATCTATGAAAAACCCACAGCGAATATCATTCTCAGTGGGGAAAAACTGAGAGCTTACCCCCTTAAGGTCAGGAACACGGCAGGGATGTCCACTATCACCACTGCTATTCAACATAGTACTAGAAGTCCTAGCCACAGCAATCAGACAACAAAAAGAAATAAAAGGCATCTGAATCAGCAAAGAAGTCAAACTCTCACTCTTTGCAGATGATATGATACTTTATGTGGACAACCCAAAAGACTCCACCCCAAAACTGCTAGAACTCATACAAGAATTCAGTAAAGTAGCAGGATATGAAATCAATGCACAGAAATCAGTTGCATTTCTATATACCAACAATAAGAAGAAAGAGAAGTTAAGAAGTCGATCCCATTTACAATTGTACCCAAAACCATAAGATACCTAGGAATAAATTTAACCGAGGAGGCAAAGAATCTGTACTCAGAAAACTATAAAATACTCGTGAAAGAAATTGAGGAAGACACAAAGAAATGGAAAAACGTTCCATTCTCATGGATTGGAAGAACAAATGTTGTGAAGATGTCAATGCCACCTAGATCAATCTACACATTTAATGCAGTCCCTATCAAAATACCATCCACTTTTTTGAAAGAAATGGAACAAATAATCCTAAAATTTGTATGGAACCAGAAGAGACCCCGAATGGCCAAAGGAATGTTGAAAAAGAAAAGCAAAGCTGGTGGCATCACAATTCCAGACTTCAAGCTCTATTACAAAGTTGTAATCATCAAGACAGTATGGTACTGGCACAAAAAACAGACACATAGATCAATGGAACAGAATAGAGAGCCCAGAAATGGCCCCTCAACTCTATCGTCAACTAATCTTCGATGAAGCAGGAAAGAATGTCTAAAGGAAAAAAGTCTCTTCAACAAATGGTGTTGGGAAAATTGGACAGCCACATGCAGAACAATGAAACTGGACCATTTCCTTACACCACACACAAAAATAGACTCAAAACGGATGAAAGACCTAAATGTGAGACAGGAGTCCATCAAAATCCTAGAGGAGAACACAGGCAGCAACCTCTTCAACCTCAGCCTCAGCAACTTCTTCCTAGAAACATCGCCAAAGGCAAGGGAAGCAAGGGCAAAAATGAACTCTTGGGACTTCATCAAGATAAAAAGCTTTTGCACAGCAAAGGAAACAGTGAACAAAAGCAAAAGACAACCGACAGAATGGGAGAAGATATTTGCAAATGACATATCAGAGAAAGGGTTAGTATCCAAAATCTATAAAGAATTTATCAAACTCAACACCCAAAAAACAAATGATCCAATCAAGAAATGGGCAGAAGACATGAACAGACATTTTTCCAAAGAAGACATCCAAATGGCCAACAGACACATGAGACACAACAGTGCTCACCATCACTCGGCATCAGGGAAATCCAAATCAAAACCTCAGTGAAATACCCCCTCACACCAGTCAGAATGGCTGAAATTAACAAGTCAGGAAATAAGAGATGTTGGTGAGGATGCAGAGAAAGGGGACCCCTCCTACACTGTTGGTGGGAATGCACCAAGGTGGTGCAGCCACTCTGGAAAACAGTATGGAGGTTCCTCAAGAAGTTGAAAATAGAGCTACTGTATGACCCAGCAATTGCACTACTGGGTATTTACCCCAAAGATACAAATCTAATGATCCAATAAAAATAAAAAAAAAAACAACTAACAAACGTAGTGATCCTAAGGGGTACGTGCACCCCAAAGTTTATAGCAGCAATGTCCTAATAGCCAAACTGTGGAAAGAGCCAAGATGTCCATCAACAGATGAATGGATAAAGAAGATATGGTGTACGTATACACACACACACACACACACACACACACACACACACACACCATGGAATATTATGCAGCCATCAAAAACAAAAATGAAATCTTGCCATCTGCAATGACGTGGATGGAACTAGAGGGTATTACGCTAAGAGAAGTAAGTCAATCAGAGAAAGACATGTATCATACGATCTCACTGATAGGAGGAATTCTTAATCTCAGGAAACAAACTTGAGTGTTGCTGGAGTGGTGGGGGATGGGAGGGATGTGGTGGCTGGGTGGATAGGCATTGGGGAGGGTATGTGCTATGGTCAGCGCTGTGAATTGTGTAAGACTGATGAATCACAGACCTGTACCTCTGAAACAAATAATACATTATATGCTAACAAAAAAAAGAAAAAGATAGTAGGAAGGGGAAAATGAAGGGGGGGAAATCAGAGGGGGAGAGAACCATGAGAGACTATGGACTCTGAGAAACAAACTGAGGGTTCTAGAGGAGAGGGGGGTGGGGGGATGGGTTAGCCTGGTGATGGGTATTAAAGAGGGCACGTACTGAATGGAGCACTGGGTGTTATATGCAAACAATGAATCATGGAACACTACATCAAAAACTAATGATGTAATAGGTATGGTGATTAACATAACATAATAAAATAAAATTTTAAAAAAATGATACTGAAAAAAGAATAAAAAATAAATGGAAGCCTGACTTCTAACTAAGGCTGTCTGGCTTCAGAGCCCAGACTCTTCAACTATTAGACAAGGAAAAAAAATAGGTAAAGAATATGAACCAGGCAAGTTAGAGAGGAAGAAACCCAAATATATGAAAGTCAGAAAATCTCACTACTAAGCAGCAAAACACAAATGAAAGCAGTTAAATACCATTTTCACTCCCCTGGTGAGGACATAGAAAAATGGGAATGTGAGCTGTTACAACCTTTTGGGAAGCAACCTGGCAATATTTAAAGCATTAAAAACACAATAACCTCTGACCCAGAGGTCCCACTTTGAGGAACATCCCTATTGAAATAAGAACACAAGTACTTAAGCTTATAAATATCTCATGTTGTGGGGCGCCTGGGTGGCTCAGTCGCTTAAGTGTCTGACTTTAACTCAGGTCATGATCTCAGGGTCCTGCGATGGAGCCCTGCATTGGGCTCCCTGCCCAGTGGGGAATCTGCTTGTTCCTCTCCCCAAACCCCCTCCCCCTGCTCATGCTCTCTCTCTCAAATAAATCAATAAAATCATTAAAAAATTGTCATGTTGTTTATTATGCACTGTTTATAGCAGCTAAAAAAGGAAAATAACCCAAAATGTTCATGAATATGAAGGTGGTAAGTAAAGTGCACAATATCCACATTTAGAATATTACATAGCTATGAAAAATGAGTAAACTAGACCTTTATGGCCCCAGAGGAACATCTCTACAAGATATTTTTAAGTGATAAAACAAGTTTCAGAGTAATGTATATACCATGAGCATATTTTTTAAAAAAAACTAAAAACACTCTATATGTGTCTGTGTTTCCATGAGCAATCGGTCTGATGCAAGAGGAATTACAACAAGTTAATAATAACACTGGTGCTCTCAGGGATGTGGGGATGGAGCATGAAGGGAAAAGATTAACTCTATACACCTTTGGATCTTTTTACTTATCAAAGCAAACACATTTATTTTTACTTAAATTTTAGTAAAGACAATAAAATAAATTCCTTTAATGAGTACTTTCACAATCTAAGGGCCCACAAAATATAGCCATAAAAAACCATCATCCCACGGTCTACACTGTTCAGCACTTCTTGGAGTGACAGAAACCAGCTCTGGTCTTAAAATAATCTGTGGTCAGTCCAATGTTGTGGAGGTAGGAAGAACTGGACTGGCTTTTCCCCAAACCCTGTTGCTGCTGTCCTGCCCACAACCCATTTAATTACTTTGGGTTCAGGAGAAAGGAAAACATGAAGAAAATGGACAATGACAGAGCCATTTTCTATGAAAATTGATACTTGCTCAGAAGTCAAAGAGAATGACTCATAACTCCTCTAAAAGAAAGGCTATTCCCCTCACTCGTGTGAACCCTAAGTTTAACCACTAACAACCCACCCCGACAATCTTTTCTTCCTTGCCTAAGAAGCAGTTATGGGGGCACCTGGATGGCTTAGTTGGTTAAGCATCCAACTCTTGATTTCAGCTCAGGTCACGATCTCAGGGTTGTGAGATCGAGCCCTTTGTCGGACTCCATACTCAGAGGAGTCTGCTTGTCCCTCCCCCTCTACTCCCTGCCCCCACTCACACACACTCTCTCTCTCTCAAATACATACATAAATAAAATCTTAAAAAAAAGAAGAAGCAATTATGGACCATTTATTCAAGGGCTTTCCAGAAGGACTGCCATAGGCTGGCATACTTCTGCGTCTTAAATTTATCTCTGAGCAAGCAGAACAATTAAAATCCAATGACCATGGCCAGCAGCATCTTATTTTGAGGATGAGTTATCAGAAAAACATTGTGTTAACTGTTGGCTCATTTAAACAGAATGGGTTGGAACAAGAAGCCTTAGCAAATTCCTTTGAGGCCAGAAGGTATACTTAAAAGAGCTGTCAGGATCGGTTTCTACTACTTCCAAGATATTTAACTCCCCAGGGCCATTATCTCTTCCTCTGCGTCACAAAGCAATGATAAAGCATATAGAATAAGGAGGCCCGGGGCGCTTGGGTGGCTCAGTCAGTTAAGCATCCGACTCTTACTTTCAGCTCAAGTCATGGTCTCAGGGTTGTTAGATGGAGCCCGGTGTCGGGCTGCATGCTTAGCGCAGAGTCTGCTTGAAGATTCTCTCCCTCTGTCCCTGCCCCCCATTCGCACTTTCTCCCTTTCTCTAAATCAATCAATCTTTTTAAAAAATTATAAAGAAAAAAAAAAAAAAAAGAATAAGGAGGCCCAAAAGATGGAATGCCTGTTGACTTCACAAGCACAATGCCAGCCAATTCCTTTGTGTCATAATACAATGACATAGTTTTCTGGATTAGGACACAGGGAAGGAAGCATCTATTACAGACTTGGCTTAAAAAAGTCAGAAAAGATATCTGTGAAACTGTCCAGCTGCCTGACCCTCACGCAACCTCAGGGAGACTATAAAGTTTGAGACCTAGTACTCCATATTTTGTGTTCAACCATGGAAGACTGACCTCGAAAGGTAAGTTCGCTCGCTAAAAAGAAATTATCAGGTAACTGAACATGAGCAATTTTGCGTTAACAGGAAACAATGCCTTTCTTTCAGAGCCACATGGGGAGGTCAAGGTAAGGTGAGTTGCTGTTCTTTGCGTACCAAAATAGCACAAAAGAGAAAAGCTGTGAAGGAAAATATACGGGGCGAGCGTGAGGGTTTTCTTCATACTATCCTTACACAAGGAGGTGATACATATGTGCCAATGACACCTAAGATAAACTTAACCACAGAAAGAAATTACTAAATAAATAGCAACTGGGTTTACAACCTGATTATTTTACCCCTTGACTTTATAGGGAAGAAACCAATTAACTAACTTTATAGTTTGTGTATTTAATAAAACTGTCGGTAAGACTATGTGCTCTACAAATGCTGTTACATTTACAACAAACATATATTCGGTTCCATATTAGACAACAGGAGGAAAAGAACAGGCTTCAGGGTAAACACAGTGTGTCCTCAATAAGAAAACAATAAAGATGTTCAGTACTAACTGTACAAGCAACATAAGGGCCAAGAATATACAACATATTCTGAAAACCTAAGCCCGTATCGCCCTTGCCATATTGTGAAAGCCCCCTCCATTATATTCCAAAGCGAGACATCAGTTATTTTTGTACTAAAACAACTTCCTGTCACTCATATCCTGTTTGTTCTGTCTCGGTCACAGTGGAAGACAAAAGCCACGACAACAGGATGAACGAAGCAGAAAGAGGAGCTGAGCAGAGAGGACCCCGCCATTAACTCACACGGCCAATGCCCCCTGCCTGCCTCCCCTGCTCCAGTCCTTTCTCTGCAACTTATTTCAACTGTGGCCTCATCTTCCACTGGACCCTTCCTTACCCCTCCATCCCTGGTGCTGACCTCTGTGCCTCTTCATCCCCTGATTAAACTCCCTTCTCTTGCACAGGTGTGCACACAGGCTCTCCTTCCCCTCCCCTCCCGCCATGTCAACTGCAGATTCTGCATCTCTGGAACCATTCCTCCTAAGATCAAGAGGACCAGTTATTAGTCAAAGCCCTGCTTCCTTAGCAGGCACAAACGGTCCCCACCCTGAAACACCGGAGAGGGTTATAAACTAGGCTACAATCGCCCTTGTGCTGGGGGCCCTGCGTCGTGAAGGGCTGAGAGCCCGGCACAGTCAGGCTGGGGCTCCACCACCTGCCCCCAACACCGCTGAGCAGGCCCACACAAGCATCCCGAGTGGGACAGCAGCATGTGGACTGTGTGACGGCACACCCTCATTCTCTTTATTCTTTTGCTTTCTCCCTTTGAAAAATTGCTTGCTGCCCTTTTCCTACCTTCTTAAATAAAAATATTTTTAAAACACTTAAGAGCTAGGGGGAAAAATAACAACAGTGAAGCCTTATAACGCTTCCTTTTTGGGGCTTTGACCACGACCACAGTAAGAAATACATTTATATCACAACCCAATACATATACACATACCACATATGCACACTTTTAAAAATTGTATCTATCATTGGGCTACCTGGCTGGCTCAGCTGCTAGAGCATGCGACTCTTGATCTTGGGGTCGTGAGTTCAAGCCCCACGTTGGGCAAAGAGATTACTTAATAAAAAAATTTTTTTAAATAATATCTGTCATTATTAAGGGGCAGCGTAGTTAATATTCTAAATTCAGTTCTATTCCGTTTATATTTTAAAAATATATCTGGGGCACATAATGTTGAGCTAAGGAAGCCTGGCACATACTGTATAATTCTACTAATAAGAAGGCCTAGAACAGTCACAACTAATCTACAGTGATAGAGATAAAAGCAATGGGGTAGCAGCTGGGAGCGGAGTATAAGACAGTTGGCCGAGGTGCTAGAAATGTTCTATGTGTTGGTCTGGGTGGTGGTTATGCAGGTGCACAAATGTGAAATCCACTGAGCTATACAATTAGTGCTCCATGTAAGTTCTATTTCAATAAAAAATAAAAAGTAAAACAAAACAAAATAAACAGTAAGAAATGGGGGCTGAAACCAATTAAACTGATTTAAACAACCAATTCCGCTAACTTGGTTACACAGAGTTTGAAAATAGCTCTAAATACACTATATGGATAGTGTATTTAGAGCTATGGTATATACTTATATATAAAACGTATATAAAAATATATATATATATAAAATTTCTCTATATATATTATCTCATATATACTTTAAAAACTTTCCTATGTCGTAGGATTGAGAAATACTGAATTATTATGCCGGCCAGGCCCAGGAAGGCAGCGAGAGAAGAAAGGAGGGCACAATTCCTGTATGTCTTCATGGGGAAAAAAAAAGTATAGATTTTTAATCAATTAACATTAGATTCAAATACTACAAGTCTTCTCTTTGGTATCCACTGTGTTCATCCAGTAAGTGTAGGCAGTTACTTTTTGAATCCTGGACTGCACTGCCTATGTTAGCTGCTTCCTAAATAAAACAAGTTCAAACACTTTGCTTTGAGAAATTAGAGCCCCCAAACACCCAGAAACAAAAAAGCAAATCTCAGTGCAAAATATGATACACAGAAATTCACAGTACAAAAACACAAACAAGCCAAAACCCTTCCCAGCTCAGGAGGAGGTTACAATGGTGGCACTAAAATTAGCTTTAATAGGCAGGTGGCTACAAAGATATTGTGGTAACAGTCAAGTCTTAAAGAAAAACAATACTCTCAAGTCCTAGCCAGGGAGGGAGATTTTATATTTTAGAACAGCCATGTTGTCTTAAAGTAAAGGTCAATGCTGAATGTTACTCGATTTTATAATCGTATATAGATAAACCATGTTTTCTATTACAGTGTTTAAGATGTGGGTGTGTAGGGTCTCTGTTACATTGTATTCACAAAGAAAAAGAATAGAATGGCAATAACAGAGCAAGAATATAAATGGTCAGAGAAAACAAAGATATTTCTCTCACTTAAGAGAGAATCATTCATAGATGCATACAAGTAGACAAATACAGGGATATTCACTGTAGCATTGTTTGTAATAGAAAAAATTGGAAATAACAAAACAGCTAAAATAAAATGCTTACATGGGGCAATAAAAGGGATGAACTAGATCTATATACCAGCTTGGATGGATCTCAAACACAAGGCTGAATTAAAAAGCAAGTATAGAGTAATATGTTAGCATTTATATAATATTTTTAAACATATAAAACACAACCATATATATCATTATGATAGGTACATTGGTAAAGATTTAGGGATAAAATGGAAGTAATCCCAGAAAACTCATAATAGTGACTGTCAGCAGTTGAGGTTGCGGGGGAGGAAGGCAGCAGAGGAAGGATGGTGTTTAAAAAGAACTTCAACCACCACTGATGTTTTAGTTCTTTAAAAAATATGGGAACTAAAAGGACAATAGAGTAACAGCGCTGAACCTGGGTCGTGGGAATACGGACGGTTGTTTTTAACTTCTTTGTGCTTTTCAGTAACTTTTACGTTCCTCAAAATTATTAAAAACAGATGTAACTTTTTTTTTTCCCCACTCAGACGGACCCAGGCGCAATCTATAAAACTCAGGCAACCCCTCTTTGGGTTAGTGGAAAGACTGCCACACACCACCCTCTTTGGAAGTGTGTCTATTGACTTGAAAAAGGGGAGTGTATGTGTGAATATAGTAAGTACCATGTTAACATGGGAATCCTTGGGGCATCGGGGTGGCTCAGTTAGTTAAGCGTCTGACTCTTAGTTTCAGCTCACATCATGATCTCAGGGTCGTGGGGTCAAGCTCAGCGTCAGGCTCCTTGCTCAGTGCAGAGTCTGCTTGAGATCCTCTCCCTCTGCCCCTCCCCCCACTCTTCCTCTCTCTAAAATAAATAAATAAAATCTTTAAAAAACAAAACAAAACCTGGGAACCTTTATCTTTGCATTTTTGTTATTTCTTTGATACCCGTGATTTGGTATTAAATATTATGGAGGGGCAGGAACAAGGAATAATAAAAAGAGAATAATTTATAAGGCACTTTCTGGAAAACAGACTAAAATTTGACTTAGGTCAGTATTTAACCTCACCTCATATTCAGGTCAGAAAATAGAAGTGTAACCACAACATCTTTTTAACAATTTACTAACCACAACATCTTTTTAACAATTTACTACACTGTAACTGTTAATCACTTCGATAGATTCTATCCTGGGCAGATTCAGGAAATGAGAAATATTTCAATACCATTCTACAAAAAGCACAAGACTTAGGATGATATTACCTTGGCAAGTTCAGGCAGGTAGCTGTCTAAACTGGAACCAGAACCTTCCAATTTGCTTTGCTCATCATCTGAAATGGCAAAACAGATTACCTGAGTCACTTGTAATTGAATGTATTTTATTTAAATCAGGAAGGCCATTTCTCTTTTGTACCCTTGAACGCAGTGGTTTTCAACTCTAGACGCCCATTAAAAACACCTCAGAGCTTTTTAAAAAAATACTGATGCCCAGTGTTGAGAGTCAAACATTTAATAACTGATATACCATGAACACTGTCTAAAAAGAACCAATATTAGTTATGAGCACCAGCCCACATGGTCACATCCATCAGATCCACTAAAAGTCAGGCCTGCCAGGTCCCACCCCAGGCCAAGTGAATCAGAATTTTTTTAAAAGTTCCTGGGAACATCTAAGGTACAGCCAGGGTTGAGAATCATGTGTCTAAGGCCTTGAAATAAAACATGTGTCTAAGGCCTTGAAATAAAACATGAATTGTCAAAAACATAGCCAAATTTTTCCCACCAAATTAATGAGGAGTCTGCCTATCTTAATTTCGTCTTTAAAATTCTAAAGGCTAAGATTAATGATAATAGTAATAACTATACTTAGTATTTTACGTGCTGACTCTATGCCAGGTACTCAGGATACATAATCTTATTAAATCCTCCCATCAACCTGAAAGTTCCATTTCATTCCCATTTCACAGATGGCTAAACTAAGGCTCAGAATATGGAAGTAGCTTGCCCAAGGTCTCAGAGCTAAGAAATGGTATTGCTGAGATCTGAACTCCGGTCTTCCTTTCTGCCCCCAAAGCTGTGGTTCTTCCCATTACATGATTTCCTGATAAAAATGTTGTCAGGGTAGTAAATTCCAATGTGATAAAACCTCTGCTGACAAGCTCTGCTGTAGAGAGCTCACATCTGTCCCACTGCTCATGTACCTGTGCAATACATCCACTTTCCATGCCCTCTGACAAAATTAAAGACACCAACAAAGTGCATGTACCTGGAGAAAGCTGGATCTACTTACCTTCATGAGAGTCTCCATTTCGCTTTTCTTGCATTGCAGCTTCAAAGTTGAGCTGGAGAATCTTATTTAGGATCGTGATCCACTCTTCCATTTCTGCTTCACTGTCTGCCGCCAAAAGGTAACTGCTTTTGTCTTGCATCTTGAGTTCAAAAGCAAACCGCCTGACTTTGTTGTTCTGAAATTGAAAAGGAGTAAAAGAGATACATTTTAAGAGAACTGGAATGGCCTTAAATTTTTTTCTCTTTATTATTTGCTGATGGGGTGTGCCCTCATTGACATTTGGGGCAAGCTATTTAAAAATGCAAGCCCCTTCCCTGCAAACCCCCATCACTATTTACCTTCCCTGCTTTTACTGTCTCCATAATTTTATTTTCTCATTTGACACATTATGCATTTTACATATTTATCTCGTTTGTCTTCTGTCTCCTCAAATGGAAGGAGAGCTCCTTAGGGCAGAGATTTCTTTTGTTCAGTGCCACATCTGTATTTCTAGAACACTGCCTGGCACACAATAGGCTCTTGAAAAAACATTTACTGATGCATGAAATTTCACTGAAAATTTTCAACTCCTCCAGCTCCTTCTTTTTTTATTTTAATGAAGTAGTGTATGGTGTCACATTTTAAAAAGCAAACCATAAAAAAAAAAAAAAACCCAAACCATTATCTATCAATATATTTGACTTCCTTTTCTGGAACTTTCCCATCGTTTTTGAGTCCTCAAAGGTATTTCGACACCATGTCTACAGCCTTCCCTCGTGCCTCCAGTTTTTATACTTATGAAAGAATATCCAGCTCCAAGTACAGAAACAGTAGCCACATGCATTAAATGATGGAGGATGAATGTGCCCTAGATCAGGGTTTCTCAACCTTGGCACTACTGATTTTCGGGACCAATAGTTGTGGGAGCTGTCGTATGCACTGCAGAATGTTTAGCAGCATCCCTGACCTTACCCACTACTGCCAGGAGCATAACCCCAGGTGTAAAGATCAAAACATGTCTCCAAATAGTAACAAACCTCCCCTGGGGAGCAAAATTCCCCCCTACCACCACCAAGGGACAGAACTAGAAGAAGTTTGGCTCTAAGCACTGTAGCA